TATTGTATTGGACCAAAGAAAATTATCTCATAGTTTTTAGCCAATTACGAAATTTTTGTTCACAATATTTTGTTTTTGATAGTATTAAAACTTTTAGTAAGTTAACTTCTAAACATAATTTTGCTTACAGTGATAGTTAAAAAAAGGATAACGTTCCATTAATGTTATAAGTTTAGGTCGCCAAAAGCACAAGATCCGTATAATGTTAAATCAAGATTTATTACAATTTCATATCGGTAAATATCGCTTGAAAACAAGTTCGAGAAATAAATTCAGATAAACTTCTTCTGGGAATTCCGTATTGTCGCCTTATAATCTATTTGTATCAAAATTCCTATATCCTCGCCAGCATAAGCAGTTTTCTTATTTAGCGCACAGGATCAAGGATCAACCGCTTACGACACTTGACAGCCGGCAGGAACCGCAAAAAAACAGCTTAGCAGCAGTGGAAAAAGGGATGCCACCGAGCGACTGTCAGCGACAACCCTGCTCCATCCTGCTCCACCCACTCCATCGCCCCCCCGCTTTAAGTCACCAGTTTCCTTAGTAGCCACTTGATGACTGCCAGCAAGTTGACACTAATCAGTTTAGCTTTAGCCCGACGCAGACAACTTGATTTGCATACACAAATGTGCAGGGCTTGTGAATGGTGAGGGGCGTGGAAAATGGGGAGGGGGGTGCGGAAAATAGGGAGCGGAGGTGGTGAGAAAAGGGGTGGTGGGAAAACCACTTAAGCGGGCAACTAGCCACACCTAAACAGGCCGTCAGTCAGCGGGTCAGTTGGGGAAAAAAGAAAAATGTAAAGGAAAGGGGGCGGCTGTTTATCCATAGTCAGCCCACACTTAACCCCCTTTTTTGGCCCATTCTTAACCCGTTGCTGGGCTCCTTTTTACCCCTTTTTTTCTGCTCCCCCACAAAATGGCAGCCAAAACAGGAAGTAATCTATAGTCGCTCCGCCATTGTTTATTGTTTAATTTTTAGTCAACGTTGTTGCTGCTGTTGCTCAACTTTTGACTCCGGCCAAGTCTCCGTTCTGGTTATGCCTGCTTCCTGTTCGTCCTTCGTCCTTTTTGCCGCCCACCCGTCCACCATCCCAACTCGCTCGGCGTTTTCTTTGCCCGTTCCTTCTTGTATTATTTCTATTGTTAACAGTTTTTGCATTCGCCGCTGCAAGTAGCGAAAACTTTTCACAATGGACCTTTGTTCCACCCCCCTTCCCCGGTTTTTCCACCCACCACCCCTGTTAGCTGCCCTGCTTTTCAACGATGCCACTTGAGCACTACAAAAGGAAAAAAAAAATATATAAAAAAAAAGAGGACACCGAAAGGAGCGGAGAGCGCAACAGCAGACAAAGACGGCCCAAAATGCGAAAGACGAAGACGTTGACAACGGCGGCAGCCTTGCACCCCAAACAGCCCCAAGCCACCCACAACCCCACCCACTGCCCTCTACCACACCCCCCCACCCAAAGTCATGACACGCCCGTATCGCATTTACTTGGATTTCGCTTTATCGGAGCGGCAAGGAAAACAGCAACCCGCCGACGACGACGACAACAACGTCACCCAGTTTCCATGGCATCATCATCTAGTTTTTCTTTCCGTTTTCCATACACCGAAAAACAAAATCGGAGTCTTCAGCAAATGGCTCGATTCAAATCTCTGAATTTGGAACAATTGGGTATTTTCACCGAACAACAACAGATACAAATTCTATATAAAGTTTTGCTATAAAGATTACAAAATAATATATATTGATATTTTTCGTTACAGTTCTAAGATACATGGAGTATTTCCCAAAAGTCGTTAATAGTGCATTAACTTGTTATTGGACCTGTACTATAATTTAGTTATCGGTTTTTTAAACCACGATTCTTTACCATTTTAATAATTTTAAAAGCGTCTACATTTTAAAAGCTACTACTATGTAGTTTAAAAATATGACAGAAATTATACTTGCAATAGCAGTTTAATTTTTATAACATACTCAAAACTATTCATATATATTAAAAACCACTTGTTTGAAAGCCCATTCTATTTTGTTGTTTGATTAAAAATCGATTAGTATTTTTATAAAATATGTTGTCGATATATATATGTCTTATATAAAATTTTCCTATGTGCATTGTCTGGTTTTTCAACTGATATCCTCTTCTTTTTCCGATTTGCTTTAGTCAAGAAAAATTCCTTATAATTGCGTTGCGGTGCCGTCCACATTCACAGGAGCAACTTATGGAACAGCAGTACTCCAGACAGAAAAGCAATTCTTAAAGTTTAGGGCTTAAATCCCATATTATAGGTACAAAAAATAGTTGACTAATCTCTTGCCGGCTAAAAGACTTAATTAATTCTGTAAAAATCAGTTAATTACGGGCTTCATTTGTGCCGGGGTCATATAATGATCGAATCGAATAACACTGAAACCCGTTCATTAACTTAATATTTTTTTTTAATTGATGCCCATACTTTTTTCCACTATTTCACAATTAATCCCGACGGATGGTGCACATTCTTTTATATTTTTTAGCCCACTATTGAGCATTTCCTTGACTCTTATTTTTATACAGTTGTAAGGTCATATTTAAGAGTAATATATATTGAACACTGCATTACTTGTTATACATTTCACCACATATACTTTTGAGGGACTTCTGCAAGGGCAATTTAAAACTTCGGACTGCCGAAGAATACTTTTTGCATTGACAGTTTAAAAATATATATATACATATATTTAACGAAAAAATACATAATTAAAATACGGGAAACGTAAAAAGTAACGCAAAAACCTGATGGAATAATTTGCATTATAAATTGTTTGTAAAGAATTTTCTGTTCTTCCTTAATTTTTTTGTTTTGCTTTTATAATACTTTGATTTTTTTCTTCTTTTTTAATGCATAATTTTATTTGTGTTGGAGCGGATGGATGGATGTATGCGTGTGGATATGTGTGTAATTGGGTGAGTTTTGTTGTATTTGGAAAACATATAAACAAATGGCTTAGACGCAGACAATTAGGACATTTAGGGATACGTTTGGGGGTTTTGTAGGGATGTTTTTTTTTTCTTTTCTTTGTTATTTTTTTGAGTGATAACATATAAGGATATACAGATATTTTCTTTCGTTTTACTTGCATTTTTATTAGCTTTGATTGGTTCTTTCTTTGTCTTTGTTCTGCTGCTGACCTTTGGGTTTTTATTTTTTATTTTATTGGATGGGAAACCTAACGAGTTTCTGTTTTTGTATACTTAATTCCTTCGTTTGGTTAACAAAACATCGACAGATATATAAATCGATACGGAAACTAATAAAGTGATTCACATTTGATGAGATTTGTTTACCATAAAAAGCTTTGATCAAAAATCAAACGAAAACAAAGAAAAACATAAAGAGATCAAGAGATTGAGAGAGATGAGGGAGGAAATCGGTGGAGTTTCGTTGATGAAAAATCAAAAAAAGAATAAAATAACGATTGGGGGACATTTTGTGGTGACAGACATATAGAAAAAGTGAGAAAAGGTAGTGGAGAACCTCGGGAAAAATCAACCAAAATTCTGCTCGAAATGCTCACATGCCAAACTATGAGTAGAGTAGAGGAAAAAAATCATAACAAAATTATTTCGATGACTTTCGTTTTGGGTAATGGGTTAGTATGAGTGTTAATATCGCTGGTTGATTGGCAAAAGGAAAAACACAAATCGGAAATCAAACTAAATACACATATAGACACGGTACACATAACACATACAATTATTTATCTATATATATATATATATATGTGTGGATATATATATATCGAGATTCTCTCATCTGGCCCTATAAAGTATGCCAACGAAAAACGATGAAAATTAATATGGAAATAAATATGAAAAATATACTCATGATATGCAAGTGTTTGTTTTTTTTTCTTTGCGAGTGAGCGTGCTGGTGTGTTGGTGAGATAAAAAAATTATGAATGCATTTTTTTCGCTGTTAATTTTTATTTTTGTTTTTGTTGTCTTCACTCTTCTTGTTGTCGTGTTTTATTTACATGAATGATTTGTTGACTTTTCGATCTCTGTGTTTTTGCGGTTCTCAGTTTTTCTGTGTGTTAATATGTAATTTAAAATCAACAAAAAAATCATTATATGCAAGGGTGGTGCGAATATGGTAGGTGCTCGTACAATTATAATGCAATTAAAGCCGTGGGGCATTTGAACGCTGAACCACAATTTGGGGAAAAAACTTCAAAAGTCAATTGCAGGCTTTTCATATCTATTTTTTTAAAAGAATTTTTAAGCTGTTTGTGGTATTAAAAATGAAGGATAAATTTGTATTTCTCCAAAAAAAAAAGGTTAATATATTCTTAGTTTTACTCTTTTATTTTTATGATATTTCGAAAAGTTATAAACTGTATGCTTTTAAAATTAATTGAATAAAATATTTACTTTTATGTACGTTTTCATAGATGTCGAGTCTCAAACGTTTAGTTTCATAGACAGATAGGTTGTATTTTAATGCATTAGTACTAAAATATTCATTTATAATAGAAAAAGTTACATGATATACAATACAAGTTAGATTTGGGTTTTGAAAATCACTTCAAAAATCAAGGTTTAAGTTTTAAAATATAAAAAAACAGCCATTAAAGTTCCCTAACTAAAGCTGCAACTGATTTTAGAGAGGGAAGATATAGGTGATAAAGGTGAGTGATCCAAAATACGATGATGAGAGAGGCCACCTATTTTTGTGAACCAAAAGGTCCCGTGTGTGATTTGATGGATGCATTTTACGGATCAAAAACCGAAAGCGAAAAACAAAAGTCGATGCATTCTGTGAATGGATAAGTGGATTCGATGGATCGTTTGGATGCTTGGATGAGGAGAACATAAAATCCAGAATCAACTGAAGAAGATGCGACTGTTACAAAGATTTTGGTTTTTGGTTTTTTTCTTTTCTGTTTTAGAGTACCCAAAAACTGTACGTCTGTGTTTCCTTTTTTAAGTGTTTTTTTTTTCGACTTACCAAGGTGTGAACGAGCTCCAGAAGAGACTACAAATTCACGGGTTGAAACGTAGGATTTTTTTTGTGATTTTTTTTTTTTTTTGATTTTGATTTGCATGTAGGAAATGCATTTTGATTTGGTGTTGAAATTTGATTTGGATTTGATTTTTTTTGTTTTGGTTTAGCACACAACATGAAGGTATCGAGCCACAGCAACAGAGTAGGACAGTACACAATTAATTGACAGGACAATAAAAAAGAAATCAAAAGACAAAAATGCGTTTCGTTAACGAATTGATCAAACTTTGATATTGCTTAACAATTGGTAATAATTTTTTTTTTTTTGGTTTGGTTTTACTTTTAGCATACCTAAGGTGGAGATTTGTACTTTCATAGCTTAGTGAACCAAAGAGATACGAAACGGAAGTGGAAACGAAAACGGAAATGTAAACGAAACGGAAAAGGAAACGACACGCTGAGAAATAAACGGAAAATAACACATTTGACGAACACACTTAGTCGGATGATGAGACGAAGACGAAGACAGAGACGGAGACGGAGATCGGCAGACGTCTTCGGGGCTTGACTGACATATCATCTTGGTTGGTTTAGTATGGTTAGTTGGTTAAATGCGGAACGGAAACGGAAACGCAACGAAATGAAATTAAGATCGAAAAGAAGGGGGGAACGGGAAATTGTAAACGAACGAGTAACTCATAATCAATTTCGCTCATCGGTCTTCCTCAGTTTTTGGGAATCCTCTCCTCTTGGTCTTGGCATCGGCGTAGTTCTCTTTTTTTTTTGAGGGGGTTTAAATAAGAATTGAAATCATAGCAACAACTCAAGAGACACGCTATATAGGTTTTATATTGATATACAATGACAGACTATACTTCGCTTAAGAAACCAAACGAAAGCAAATCAAATGTAAAGTTAACTATTGATAATGTAGCTAGGTCTGGTCTTAGTTTCTTAGTTTTACACTCGATCTGATCGATCACTTACTCATCGATGGAGGCCTAACTTCGGGAGATTTTTTATATCATTTGTTTTGGTTATTTTTTATATTTTGTATTTTTTTTTTTGGGGTAAGACGAACACAAGGAGGTTTAACACTAGACAACACACATACTCAATGAAGTGCTATCATTATATTTCGCTTTTCTCGTAATGCTCTTATTAATAAGTTCTAAATTTTCTTGCTCCATGTAGAGTTCGAGAGAATGAGAGAAATGAGGCGGCAGAAAGGAATGGAAACAAAATGGAAAGCAAACGAGGGGCAAGGATCAAGGATCCCTGCCCAAAAGCAAAAAACTAAAAAAAATCAATTGAAGATGGTAAATATTTTTTTTAAGAAAACTGTGGAAATATATATTATTTTCGGTTTTTTTTTCGCTCTGGAAGTAGTCATCAGCAGCGTCTGATTCTTCTCATTGGCTTGGCATTTCCCAGGCGGGCAAGAAAAGAAAAAGCTCAAACTAGGAAAATGTTTCGTTTCGTTTTCCTCTTCTTTTTTTTTGGTGGTGGGATAAATCAAAAGAAATAAGGATCAACTAAATGTATAACCAAAACGAATCGAAACGGAACGGTGGGAAAGAGAACTCAGAGGAACAAGAGAAAAGAAAACTTTCAAAATTCAACATTTTGACTTGAGATTCTCACATTCTCATCTCAATATTCTTTTTTATTTTTTTTTTTTTCAGCGCATAAATGATAGACTCATTGAGGGGAGAGAGGCGTTCGGGATTGTGGGAATGTGAATGGGTTTAGATTTTCATTTCTTTTGCTTCTTCTTGGTTTTTTTTCGACTGATTGATTGATTGAGACTACTGGCAGTGTGTTTAGTTGAAGTTGGTATAAAACATAAACAATTTTTTTTTTTTTTTCGTAAAGCATAACGTAAAAATATGGCATATATGTATATATAGCTGGTTAGATGGGCCATATGGTATTTAGTTATATACACATATATATGCTTCATATAGAATAAATTTGAGCTTTTTCCCTTCATTGCACCCGTAAAGCTTAAAGAATACACACAGAACCGAAAACGGAAAAAGTTCAAACGCAATTCCAATAAAAAATTTCTCAATTGCAGACCGAAACGTCCCCGTATAAATATTGTGGATATACGCGGGATGATCGCCGTCTGCAACTCAAAAAACGGAAATGAAAAGATCGAACTTGAAACCGAAAAGATTTGAACTGAGAAAGGAAACTCAAGAGTCGCTCAATGGCAGGCCCTCTCACATATGGTCATTTGGGGAATCCCTGCGCACTAAGAGTCAGACGCATACGTATATGGTATATGGTATATGGTATATAGAGGCTATAGGGGCGCTACGTGGTACGACTTAGTTCTAGATCAAATCACTTACTTCTCGCTGTACTCGTCCATGTGGGCGTACGACTGCACCGAGTTCTCCTCGATCAGGAACTTGACCCTCTGGTAGAAGGAGGCCGTGACCGAGGGCGGTTGTTTCCGGAGCAAGACTTCCACGGGATCGTTGGACGACAGGCACATTATGTGCTCCGAGCAGGCGGGATGTGAGCAGCACTCGCTGTCCGAACAGTCGGTCATGCCGTCTATATGCAAGGTATCAAGGTAACATAACAATATCAGTTATACAATTTTTAGAATATTCCATACTACACTTGCAATGGTTAATCTATTGAAAAATTAGTTACCATTACAGGTCAAAATCATATTAATATGTTGTTTATTCTTTAAAAATATTATCTTCTTGGATCAAGTTTAAGCAAGTCTTATAAAATACTTAAAACTTTATAAACTTTTATTTAATAACTTCATCTTACCGCCATCATTGTCGATATTATCCTTGCAATTCAGTTCCAGTGCGATGGAACAATCACTTCCTGCCCATCCCTCAATGCAATCGCAACGGTACTCGCCATTTTCCAGGGTACATTGTCCATGTCGAGAGCATCCATTTTCGCAGCCAGCTGTGGTATTAAAATTTGTTTCATTTAATAAATACAAATTTCAAGGGTTTTGAGCTTTTATAATAAATAAAAACTGACTTATAAAACTGGTTCCCTTGCTAAGTACTACAAGTTCGTGTTGCTTTCTTATCGAGTAATTTAACAAGCAATCTATTCGCCTTTTGTATAGCACTTTATTTAACGGACTGAGATTTTTGTGCCAAATGGTTTGCTGTAATTAAGAGTAAACTGCCCGGATCGAGTGGCGCTTCAAATTGAATGATAACACCCGTGCCCATCCATTGCCATCCATTTCCACGGGTATTTCCATTTAAAAACCCAACCCCATTCCCGATCCCGGCAACACCGAGTCAACATCATGAATATAAAAATAATGTTGATGTTTGCTCTCACTCTCAGTGGCAGTTAACCTTTGGCAGAACACTCGGCGAAATGTTGGGTAAACATAAAAACCCAACGAAACGTAACCTAACGATAGATGATTTGGCCCCATTTTTACGTTTTTTTTTCCCGGCTTTATTTGTTTGTGCCATGACAGCATTTGACGCAAAGTTAATGTCACTTGACATGTGTCATTTGCGAAATGGGGTAAGGTAGCGCCATCCTCTTTTAAGGCCTTCTTTTTTTTTTTTGGTTGCCCCTTACACCCCATTTCGATGGGGGAAAGGGGAAAGGAGAAAGATGGGGGGCTGCTAACTCAGCTTCCGGCATGTTAAAAAGTTTGCGGCGCATAAAATGACTTCCCTGGTTGTTACTGCCTTCCTGTTTACGAGTAGCCCCCTCCCTTTCCATCGCACTCGTGCCGTCTCTTTCGCTGAGTGCGTGTTTGTGTGCACATATTGGCAATAACTTCAAGTGGTCTTGCAAATATTGAACTCTCGGGGCGGCAAGAAGGGGGAATATGTCAAATCTGTTGACTGGATTAGACCTCGAACCATGGGAACTATAAAAATCCCAGCGAAATGGCCAAGTTTACTGCATACAAACTGGATTTAAGTTAAAGAAACAAGGGCAAAACAAGCCTGACTATTTGTAACTAAAAAAGTTAAAATGAATAATTCAACGAGAACAGCACTTAAGAAAAAAAACTAATGTGAATGACCATCCACTCTACGTTTTAAACACTAATTCCAATAAGTGTTTCATACCATTTAGGAAAATATTTATATGTTTATTGTTTTCGCAATCCGAATCGAATTCATTCTGCCATTCGTATTCCCATTATATATTTTTTTAAGTTCAAGTTTGCAAGCCGTACTATTTTTCATTATTTGTATTAAGCACAATACTGTCGACAGGTTTTTCACCTATCAATTCGAACCCCTTCCCCTTTGGCTTTTCCACAATGCAAAGCTTATTTCTCCTCTATTTTATCACTTTCGGCGTACAAATCCCCCGTTTTTTATGCCTCGCCATTCAAAAAATGTTGTAATCTCCCCAAACACACTTCTGCACATATTTTACAATCCATAATAAAATCACAGCTAGCATAAAAAATGAAAAAAAATAAACCCAAGCGATGGGGAAAACATTGTAAATATTTGAATGAGACGGAGGGTGATAGAAAAGGGAATAGACATTGTAGATGGAGGTTTTAGGGAGTCGGACATCTAAATGTAACTACGACATTGAGTATGCATGTGGCTTTCGGGGGTCTGTACCCCTAGAAATCCTCGAAAAAAAAGAGAAAACAAAAAAAACGTCCTTTTTTGCCCCTGAAGAGGGCCAACTGAGTGGAGTTTTTGGTAGCGCGTAATTCACTGGAAATCTCTGTTTCGAATTCAATCAAGTCTGCTGCATTGAATTCGCCTACTAACTGCATTTCTGCAGGTCTAATCCGTTCAGAGACCCCCTTTTGGATGTGCACCGCCCATGGGCAGCCCCCTTTTTTCGGCTATACAAAGTCGTTCTATCTATTTGGAAATTTTCTAGCTAGAACGAACTACTCATAAGAGCCCCTCTGAATGTTTTCATATCATTTAAATTATAGCTCTATTTGTTTTTAGGGAAAATAATATAATAATTATTGAAATTTTGTGTTGAAAATTATACAAAGAATTGTTTAGAAATCACTAAGAGTTAGAGTCAAGGATTATGTACTTTCACCTACGATTGTACTTATGTTTTTATTGGTATACAGAATAAGTTAAAATTGCTGGCAGTATATGGTAACTTAAGAGAGGATATGGTTTTTCAAGCTAAACATTATATCGTTATACAAACTACATATATTTTCTTACTATTCCTTTAAGTAACCCATATATGGCAACACTGAGGCAAAGTCGTTAAGTACATTCTAAAAATACAAAACCGAAAACCAGACACAGATACCATACCATATGGCGCCCCCCTTTTGGTGCGCCCCCCTCCTCCTTCGCATATGCGGCACTTGAATCGATTGAAAAAGTGTTTCCCGGGGGGGTAGAAAGAGTGAGGGGGGTGGGTGGTGAGGGTGGGCAAGATTGCTTGTGACTCTGAATGACGTCGGAAGTTTTATTGGTTTTGCACACGTCAACGAAATGTTGATCGCGGAGCTGGGGTGGTTTTAGCCCCCCTTTTTGTTTTCGGGGGAGAGGGGAGTCGTAATGCCATTACATGCATGCCTGGCCCGCCGCCAGGGGGCGCCACACGTCTCGATGTTTTTGTAACATGACTGTTTGTTTTTAAAGTTTTAATCACTGTCAATCGATAGCTACTTATCATGCTGCAGTGCCTGCCTTTCGTCCCCGAAAAAGTCGTATCCTGCTGTTCCTACTTTTCATTGATGTTGTTTTTTGGTTGCCTCAAACAACATGGTTAAGTCATGGCGGCAAAACTGTCAAACGCACTTCCAGCCACAAAAAAAAGGGCAAAAATGGCAGAGGAGGGTGGCATTCACGGTAGATTGGGTGGGGAAAACTGTTGGAAAGGGTTCAAAATTCCCTAAAGAGGGGGCGCAAATCAAAGGGTTCTGGGACGGGGCAGAACTGAAGTGGAGAGCAAATGGCGTAAACATGTACAAAATACTTTGGTGCATCGACTCCCAGACAGCAAGAAAAAAGCCCGAAAATAGGAATTGATAAAAAGCACGACAGCAACGTTGGCAAAAAAAAAAAACTTAAACATCAGCTACACTGACAGTGGGCGGCAGCGGTGTTGGGGGGCGTGGCAGCTGCAGCAAACGCCGCAAAGTTGCTGTTGCAAAGTAACTGGCGGCACTGCATAGATTTCAGCTACTGCCAAAAAGTACGCACATTCAAGTTAAATTCGAAAGGCTTGGAGTTTTACTTAGTCTTTCCTTTTTTTCTTGATATTTTTCTAGCATTTTTATAAAACTATTTAGTTTACTGCCTGCCAGAGATACAAATTTAGAGGCCTGTGCTAATTGAATTCTATAAATTTGGTCTATGTCTACTTTTTCAAATTATTTTTATATTTTGTTAATTTACAGATGTTATGTCGATATTGCATTTTTTTTACGTTTTAAATATTCAAACTTCTTAAGAACGAATGTGTATTTTATAAATGTTTTTTTTTGTAATTTCTTATTAAGACATGTTAACCTATAGTTATCCTATACTTGTTCTCCTATTCATTTTCGAACATGAAAAAGTGGATAATACTCAAATTAAATTTAAATTAATTTGATTAGATATTTTTAACTGTGTAGTAATCCGGGAAGGAAACTACGGTTTACTTACGCAGCGTGCAGTGACGACCATTCCATCCTTGGGAGCAGACGCAGGTGCCATTTTTGCATTGGCCATGTTCAGAGCAGCGGGAATCGCAGGGCAGTTGGTCGCAGAGGTTGCCAGTCCATCCGGAATTGCAGCGGCATTTACCGGACTCACACACTCCATTCCGGCCACAATCCAAACTACAGACAGCTGGAGAGAAAAGAAAAAATATGACATGAAATTAGCATGTGAAAGCATTTATCAATCAATTTTATATTATAATATTTAATATATGACTAATTTTTGACAACATTTGACCTTAATTTCCTTACTTCTCCCTTAATGTAAAGGCATAAGCATTTTCTGGATCCTATTTTTCTATCCAATTTTCATATTTGTCCATGTGCGCATTTAAATTCATTAAAGCTTCTGTTCCACAGGACCCTCCACGTAAAGTGGCAGGAGTAAAAGGCGGTCGGGTGTTGGGAGCCATAAAAACAGCATTATAAATGTTACATTTACGTGGTGGCACACTTTGCTAACAAGACCCACACCGCCATGCCATTTCCACTCGCATCCCCCCACTTTACTTTTCCGGAGATGTCGCTTTTCCTCTCGTCTCGACTGAGGGATTTTCCCGGGGAAATGGTCAACTGTTCTGGTTCATAAGTTGGTTCATAGGTTGGATGTACGATTACTTCACGGATATTGATTTAGCGAACATGACTTGCTTGGCTTAAGTTTTGCCTTTAGAAATTGTTGGAATTCAAAAGGAGGTCTTTAGAAATTTCAACAAATTTCAGTTTTCTGATGAGAAGCGTTAAAAAGTTATAGAACTAACTTTATTTAAAAGTAACACAGTAATGCATCTACCTATTTAAGCATTATTCAAATATGCTGTAAAATTTTATTATTTTAAATTTTAAAAATCTGAGATTCCAAAAATGAGCTCATGTTTTATTTAAGCTCTATCTTGCCAAGAATTTTGAATTATACATTTTTCATTGGATTGGTTCAGGGATTTCCTGTTTTCTCGCTTTGCCCCGGCTTTAATTTATGGTTAAGTTCATAATCTGGCTTTTTGGGGGTTGCTTCACGACCCCATGACTTTTGTTACCAGGCGTAAATTTATTTTATTTGCTTTTGCGGGGACTAACAGAGAGCAGTGCCAACCTGCGTATTAAATAAATAATGAATTTTTATGAGACTCTGCTTCATTACGCCGGGAGGAGTCGTCAACGTGGTGGTCCAGGTCCACCTCCCGCACCACATCCTATATAGTATGCACCCCGCCACCCCACTCCATCCGCTCATTTTCCTCCTTCTGGTGCTAAAAAGTTAAGCAAATTAGGAGTACGTGTCCTTTGGCCTTCGGTGGCATCGTAAGCTGCTTGTTTTATTGAGCTCCTGCCCCTGAATTCCTACCGATTCTCTGCTGATTTCGCTCTCCACCTCCGGATGATTATGAACCCCGGCCGTGGGCCTAATTGGAAGCCCCGGCTTTATGGCTCAGCATTCCATTCTAATTTCGGGTTTAGTTCTGGCCATAAAACATCATCATATTCCGGTGGAGTGGCGTCGGTGGGCGGGCAATATCTGACAGATCTCGTGAGTGATTGCTCGGCAATGTGTACCTGATTTTCCTACAAGTACTTTATGACCACTGCATAAAATACACTGTTTCGGGTTGGACTTTAAGGCATCGGGGTTATTAACTACGCTGGTATAATCTAATTTTGGGAAACTTGGACCAATGGTTAAAAAGTCACATAAGTTTAATTTTTAAATTATATTCTGCCATGTACTATTTTTAAAATGAATTGATTTTTTTACGAATGTAATGATCCCAAAAATGTTTCAAATGTTTATAGATATGGTTAAATTCTTAAGAAATAAAATAAACAATTTCTAATCACAGTTCTTGAACCTTGCAAAATATGAATTCTTTTGTAAGAGATATCTCAAACACAATGTGTAGTGATTTTTTAAGGGTAGTTTAGCATGAAAATGAAGCTTATCCAATATAGCTGTTGTTAATTTATTTTCAATTGGATTTTTAGAGAAACACTCAACGTTTGGAAACAGTTACTGGAGTTTGTTAGGGACCTGGTTCGGCTGAGGCATCTTAACTCACCTTGGGAGCAATCCGGTCCCGTCCAGTGGCGTTCGCACACACATTGTCCCGTCTCCAGGTCGTAGGTTCCGTGCTCGGAGCATCCGGGCAGACACTGGTACACCTGCTGGTCGATCGTGCCGCAATCCTCGCCCTGCCAACCGGCCTTGCAGTAGCATTGCCCGGCGACACAGGTGCCGTGTCCGGAACATAGGGGATCCAGGCAGTCGTCTTCACGTCCATCATCATCATCACAATCATCGTGGGCATCATCATCATCAGCATCATCATCATCAGTGGGTATGGGTGGTGGTGGGTCAGAGGGCAGCGTTTGGTGATTGGGGAAAGAGAATACAAAACGATTGTTAGTCAACACACAAACACACGGAAGCATTGGGTACAGTGAAAAATGGTTAAGGTGGAGGTGTGTGTGCTCAATTCCAAATTCAACATACAATCCCACTGAGGTTTCTAATTAGTTATTTGCTTAAGTAAAGCCTTGAAATTGGCTTTTACAAATCGCAAAACATTTTAAATTTAATTTAAGTCAGATTCTTTGTTTTAGAAATGTGGCTCAAATTTCTTTCCATCTAAATAGTCTTTTAGCAGTTATAAATTGCACGTGTATAAATAATAAATAATAGAAATATACCGGGATATATATTTATAGATGTCATTAATTTCTTTAAAAAAATACCTGAGTACAGATTATTGGGTCAGAGCTTTATCATTTTCGAACCAAATATAAACTATGCTTTACAATAGTTTCTAAATATGTTTATTTTATTTCTAAGGACATTTTTAAAAGTGTAATTTTCTCTTTTTTCAGAGTTTTTACTGTATTTAGGGGAAAAAAGAGTTCAGGGGCAGAAAGAGGGGAAAATATATACATTTGGTGGGGCAGTGAAATCGTGACAGTCGTGGCTAAACAAAAAGCTTTCCCTCTCTTTCTAGGTGCCTCCCTCTCACTCCCTCTTTCACACACATGACATGATTAGTATGTTAGACACGTACAAAAGTGGTCATTAAAATGAAATTCCAGTTTAGTTCAAGTTGGTAATTTTGCGCAGTTGTTGCAATTTTTCTTTGGCCCGCTTTGTTTTGCTTGTTTTTTTTTTTTTTGTGTGTTGGCTTTTGGCCATGCTTTTCCGCCCCGCCCACTTTTCCTGTGGCCTGCTGATATTTTACTTTTCGGGTTGCCTGCATGTGTATGAGGAATATGCTCTCGACATATAAATTCGATTTTATACGTTTTATGTTTGCTCAACTTTTTTTCGCTTTCCCTGTTTCTTGGTTCCTGTTTTCCTTTTCTTTTTTTATTTTTGCTCCTGTTTCTGTTTTGGATTCTGTTTGTTGTTTGTCCCTGTTTGTTTTCGTATGCCAAGGGTCCGATACTCACACACACACACACGTTGCATACATATAAATGTGAAAACAGCAGGAGGCAGCCAACACACACAAATACATTTCGTGTATTATTGCATGTTGCATATTTTATACGCCATTTTTTAAGCCATTTTACTCTGGGGTATACTGTTTTTATAGAATGTACATTTAATTCATTTAATAATTCAAATTTATCTAATAAGTTGTATACAAAACTATTTCCTTTTGTGATTTGTCTTTTCTACAAATGAAAAGTCCTTAAAACTTCATAGTCAAAAGGGAAACATTTTGCTTTTTCTCTGTTGAATATAGACTAAGCTTTTTGAGGTACCCTTATGAACCTTATGTACAAAATAAATTAGTAAATACCAAATTACTAAATGGATGACCATTAAAATTTAATTTAGCCACACAAACTTTTTCCAGAGGGTATCTTCAACTTGAAAACGTATACTTTTGGTCGCATTTTTCTCTTTGATTTTTATTCCGAATTATTTAACAATTCGTTGTTTTTACAGCTTTTGGCTGGTTGAACATCTCGCTTGCCCCTTGAAAATTCGCCTCAATTTTCGTTAGCTGCTTTTAGGCTAATTCAAAGTTATCTGAGTCGCGACCAGAGGGGCGAAAAGAAAAAGAAAATGAAAAACCGTGCGAGAGAGTCGGAAAAATTGTTGGCATTTCTTTGCCTTTCGCTTTGTCAATTTAAGGGCCACACACAAAAAGCGAGGCCAGAATATTTTTGGCCAAAGAAGTGCAGACGGGGGAGGAGAAGGTGTCGGCATAATAACTGAAATATTTTGGCATCCACTTGGCTGGGTCGTTGTCTCTCTGTCCCAACCTCCAACCTCGAACCTCAAGCCACCTACCTCCTACCACCGCCCACCACCCACTTGTCCTTGTCCACTGGCCTTATCGGGCAGTGTCAACATGGAACGGAACCGAGGCTGGCTCCAAATTGCAAACAAGGCAAATAAATAATTTTAGCATTTTTATGCCAAGTCAGCAGTAAGCTCACACACATACGCCAAGAAAAAAGAGTCTAGTATTCCTGCATTAGCTTTAAAGTTTTTTTGATTTTTTGGATTTTGGAAAACTGTCTAAATAAACTAAACTTTTCTAGATTTTTATATAATATATGTTAATAGGTGCTGTGCTATTTATAACATTGAATATTGAACCTTTAGCTTACATTACAAAGTAATTTTTGCAATCTTTAAAGATATGAAAACTATTTTCTGTCCATCTACAGAAGTAAGCACATTTATAATGCAGCCAAAAACATTAAATAAAAATCCCTATTACTCTGAATTTGCATTGTGTTTTTAATATTTTTTTTTTGAGTGCACAGGGGGAGTCCTTGACACTTACGTTGATCGCAGTAGGGTCCTTTCCAGCCGCGCTCGCAGTGGCACTCGCCCTCGATGCAGCGTCCGTGGCTGGAGCAGTTGGGCACCTCGCACTCGCCCACCGGAATGTCGCACTCGGCGCCCTTCCAGCCCTCCTCGCAGTGGCAGACCCCTCCGCCGTAGTGTCCATGTGCCGAGCACAGGACCGGACAGACGCCTGTGGAAAGTGGAGAAAGGAGAAGGCAGAAGGCGGTGAGAAGGAAAGAAAGAACGGGCAGTAACGTAAAAATAAATTCAAATGAAAAATGCCATGCGCCGGCACAGTGGGTCGAAAACATAGGAAGCCCTGTATCCGAATGGTAAGCTATATAAATAATCTCTTTTGATTTCAAAACCATACCATACTTTGATTAAACTTAAAAAACAAAAAATATAATATATTCCTTTTGCAATTAAATAATAATTCCTTTTGCAATTAAATTCAGGTTCAAAACTTCTAGCTTAGATATTATACTTCTTACGAAATCTATTTAATAAATCTGCAGGAAATAACAAGCTTATTAGATTTTTATAAAACAGGAAGACATTTTTTAGAATTTATCAATTGGCTCCGTAGCATTAATCAAAGAATTGTAAATTAAAACAGCTTAATAAAATGCAAGAACGTAGTCAAACCGAATATATAAAACTCCTAATAAAGAAAACAGAAACGTTCTATTATGAACTGCCTACTTTTCTTTAACTCAATAAATATCAATCGGTTTCCACTATTAACTAGCTGGGATTAACGTTTGCACTTACTCTTGGAGCAATCCACGCCCTGGTAGCCATCGATGCAGTCGCACTTGCCGAGATAGCAGCTTCCGCGCCCGGAGCAATCGTTGGGACAGGTGGTGCTGACGCCCTCGGCTTCCTCGGCGAGCAGGGAGACGGAGTGGGCCACCAGCTCGTCATTGTAGACCGATATGAACCACAGGCCAGTGTCCAGATACTGCAGCAGGGACACATTCACCGTCATGGCGTCCACGTCCAGAGCGGGCAGGCCGTCGCCAGCGGATCGTTTGTTGAGCCAGTGGCCCTGGGGCTGTCCAATCCGCTGCAGATGCTGCTTGGCCGTATCCAGGGGCGTCTCCACATCGTACGACTCGCTCGAGTCGAAGCTCCGGCTCTCGTCCTGTTCGGAGTCCTGATCCTGGGCCGATTCCGCACTCTGTTCCCGCTGCTCCTGCCGATACAGCTCCACATCCTGGCCAGAAGGGGATGTGCCATTGGAGCTGCGCCGATGCCTCAGGTGACTGTCCAGACGACCGCCCTTGATGAACTCCACGAAGTCGTGCTGCGTCACCGATGGCGCCACATTGCGACGCGAATAGACCGCAAAGTGGGCGCCCCACGGCAGGGTGAAATTGAATCGGATGAATGCGGGATGCTTGTTGCGGAATTCCAGGGTCCAGAACTGATAGGCGGGTATGGTGGCGTGATAGGCCTCGTTGAACTCCTTGAGCTCTACCACACCGCCCAGTTGGGGCTGCAGTGCCTGATGGTGATGGCCATTGAGATTACCGCCCGGCTGCTGCATCAACTGGCCACCCAGTCCGCCATTCAGACCCCCATTCGATCCACTGCCCACCATTGCACCGCCGTAGGTCAACTGGTGGTGATCCTGCAGCTGCGTATTGGTGGCATCCAGCGGGGTCAGCGGTTGGTTGATCGAGTGCGGCTGCTGTTGCTGCAGTAGTAGCTGCTGCTGGATGCCCGAGTTACTGCCTCCGTTTGCGCCGCCCGCCGACGGATTCAGCAGTCCATGGATTCCATTCGGCCCGTGGTCCGAGGTGCTGGTCTGGATCGATTCCTCCGTGGGAAAGGCCGTGGCCACGCCCTTCTCGTTCGACTTGCCGCCCAATCCGCCGCGCAGATCGTGGGGCTGCGACTTGACGTCCTGGACTAGGATGCAGTTGGTGCTGTCCATGTTCGGCTTCATCGAGCTGACTGCTGCAAAGGGCAGATACAAAATTGAATTAGCAAAGGTCTTCATGAAATATAATGGGTTTTAAATGTACGTGTGCTGTGTTTTACTGTTAATGCTTCTATATCCTTTTCACTTTATTAAATGAGATTCTGTTCAAAATTGTATTCAAGCTTCGTTTTATTTTTGTATTTGGATGAAATGCATTTAAAGGCTTATTTTTATGTTGAAACTCAAAGACAGAACCACTATAATTTCCAAATTAAGATTAACTATAACTGAGATATGCTTTACCATTAACAAGTACTAATTAACATCTCATGGCATAAAAGGGGTTGCCTGAGAAAATCACATATAACACTTTATAAGTCATTTTAAGATTTTTATAAGCAAAGCTATTTCGTTATTAGCAGTCTCAAAATGTTGTTTCTGAAGTTGTTTATTAGAAATTGTTGATATTAGTTTTCTATATTTGGTGTTTTCAATTAGTCAAGTTTGATAGATACATATCCATATTATTATGCGAGCGCTTTGTTTCAGCCATCTTATCTGCGGACAGAAAGTGCGATTAAAGCCCCGATTAGGGGACATCGCCTGCCCGGAATATCCAACTATATCCTGGCTGTTCGTCTTCTGTTTCAGCTTTGCCTCTTGGCTGGATTTTCGATTCGGCTTGGCCAAATGTGCGCCCATAAATCGACAGACAGAGAGGGATATACGCAGGACGGGGAGGAGCGGGGGGGAGGCGGGGAGGAGATGCTCACAGTGCTGGCCATAAATCTGGTCCTCATGCTGCCATTCTGGCCAAGAGAATCGCAATAATGTCTTCTGTGGTGCTGTAGTTGGTGGCTTCAGCTGCTGCACCGCCCTGTTTTTCACACATAAATTTTGGCATCATATTTTAACGCCATATTAATATGCACACGAGTATAAATCAAAAAACTACCCCCCACCCCCCTGACCCCTTGGCCCGCCCGCTCACACACGCACACACACATGGACACAAAGTGGCCGTTGTTAACACGTTTGCATTTTGCTTTTGGAAAGCGGTGGGAGGGGGGTTGAGCTTCTGGCTATCGTTTATCGATAACTACGGCCGGCGATTTATGGCCATTGGCAGTGGGAATGCGGCGCCAGCAGGTCCTGGCCACCAGGACATTCGAGAAAAGAGGGCAGGCAAATGATTGAAGGACTCGTTGGAGCTCAGGACTCCAAGCACAATGGGTTAAACAAGTCCGCAACGGGCTCTTCTCACGTCAGACGGAAAACTTAATACCTTTTATGTTGGATTCTCACCACAATTGTAACCCATTATTTTCTCAAACCACAGTTGGAAATATCTATTCCTTTTTTAAAAGTCTCAGTTTGGAGAAACAAATATATACAATAACATTTATATAAAAATATGTCTTCTAAGTCTCTAATTATCTCACATTAGAAAAGTACTCAAAGGACGCGAAATCCAGTGCGAGCAATTAACCTTCCCCATTAATATCGATCGATATGATGTCAATGGGGCGCAGTATTATATAGATTCTATATATAGAGTGTGTACAGTGTGGACTACCACAAATAAATACAAAAACACGAGCATGTGTGGATCATAAAAATATAAATAATGGTACAAATGCTGTCAGTTTGACGGCAATTGAGTTGCCGGTTCCCATTGTTAGTCCAATTCCAATACACAACTTATCGTTGACATGTAAACTAATATAGTGCAGGGAAAATAGTAAGGGAAAACTGGGCAGAGTTCCACGAAAAGGAACAAATATATATGGCAAGTATCATTAATAAATTAAGAGCTCGGCCCAGTTGGTTCTATTAAGTTAACAAGCTTTTCATTCAAGTGTCCTGTAACCCCTGCCATCCCACGAGCAAACAATTCAGGACCCTCGCTGGTGGAAAATATCCTTGGCCTGGGTTGGGTTTCTTTCTTCCATTCGATTCGAATCGGGTTTCCTTTTTCTTCCGTTGTTTTCGGGCACCAATTAAATTTGATTACAATTTGTTGCCCCATCCCCCAAACACCCGACATCCATCCATTACCACCCCCACGTTTTACTCTCGCTAATGGTTATTTAGTTAGTTTTTATTCCACAAGTCGAAGCCAAGTAAAATATGTATAGGTTTTTAGCTCTATAAGCGAGTTTTCTAGGACTGCACTTAGAGAAAATGTTAATACTCGACTTAGACTTGTACTTCACTACAAGAAACCAAATGGCTATCTTAGACCATCCACTAATCTTATTTCCCTTAAATAATTATAGAAATAAATTCATTTGGTTTATTTAAAAATCTAACAAGCCAATCTTTATGTTGAAATTATATTAGAAAACAATCAACAATTAATTAACGCCTTGGCTGATTATTTTTGCCAGTACACCTACATGTTCATTGCACATCATTAGTGTGACACAAGCCCCCTTCTCGTATTTCCCCTCGATTCTTCCCCAATTAAAGGGGGAAGGGGAGGCCAGGGGGTTGAATGTGGGTGGAGGACACTCCTTTGGCTTTATTTTTAGACCCACTCAAGTTCTGCTCCAGTTGCTGGCTCAAAGGGTGTGCAACGGATGTGTTCGATTAATTATTTCCGCCCCTCGCCCGGGAAGTGGGCAATAACTTTAGAAGCTCCTCTCCACTTTCGAATCCTGGGCCATGAATAAAAGAGTCCTCGTCCTTGCCTAATGAGACACATCGTCAGGCGTTGGCCAGGAGACTAAGGACTTGGACTTTTGCCTAATTGCTCCTGCCGGGCTGGAAAACTAGGGCCGAACTAAAGCCGAAAAACCATGTCCATGTCCAGCCGTCCAGTGTCAGGGTCAGGCAAAAGTTACAACGGCTGGGAAATTTATGAAACATTTTCTTAATTGCACTTCCTTGAGGAAAATAATTTATTTAAACGACATGCGCACACCTTTTGGAGAAAGGCGAATGTGGAAAGGGGAAAGGGGAAAGGGGAAAGGAGCACGCCCTACGGCCATTCCAACTGAAAGTGACAAATGTCCTGATGCCGACGTGTGCGCTTTGTGTAATTTAAATTAAAATGTCTTTTGATATGTTATTGGGTCGTTTCTGAATGAGCGATTTAAAGAAATTTGTTTGCGGCCTAAGCATTAATTGAAACCGACTTGTTTTTCTCTGTATTTCACCAACATTCTTTAGAGTTTTCCTCTGCTAATTGACTTTCTTTGTTGCGGTTGTGCGTGACGTTCGCATTTCCGGATGATTGGCCAGTCGTACCGCCCGCCACGCCCCCTGTTTTGCCCATGTTTTTCCCATGTTTTTCTCATGCTTTTCCCCAGCCCTAAAAAGGAAACACGAAATGCGAGCAGGACAATTTCCGAGTGCTTTGCATAATTCGTTAGGCGCAAAAGGAAACCGCAGAAAAATGAACAATTCCATTCACTAATTGGCAGCTCGGTACAGTGAAGCCCCATCGATTGGATGATGGAGGCTTCGTTTGTTGTTGTGCATTTGACAGTACACATTGCGGTTGAGGGGGGCATTTCGTCTATTTGAAAAATAGCCCAGCCAAAAGTCAATTACTAAGAACGTCATGAGAGTTCGTGCTCGCAAAAAGTGAATATACATTTGTATATGTGGAGAGGTTGGCTTTCTTTTAGAAAAATATGTTATACATTTATATTGTTGATTAAACGATGGTATATTCTCTATCTTTTCCCATTCAAAAGTAATTTTTGGTTAATTAATTTTACAGAATTTGTATCTATTAATTACGTGATGCCATCCCAACCCGGTTATGTGATTTTGAACGCCCCAATGATCGATCTCCTGCAACTTGACTGGACTCAGAACTCGCAGTAATTAACCCTCGGCTACTTACGTGCATCTCGGTAATTAGTGTGCACTCTGTTGGTTGTTTGGTTAGCTACCTTTTGACGGCTAAGACGACATCCTAGTGGCCATAATAACAGCCGGCATAATCGGCTTACGGTTTGCTAAGAACACGTCTGCATATTCCACGGAAATATGTATTCCGATGCGTTGCAATTTGAGGGGAGGGTGGCGGACTGTGCCCACTGTGCCTCGAGTTTCGAGTTTCCCGTCTCCCGTTTCGAGTTTCGATTGACAGGCTGCAGTTTCAGTTCGGAAAATGGGGGCGTGGCTGGGAAAACCGCAACAGAGCCAAAGGCAGCAACAAATTAAATTTCCAGCAAACCGCAACGCAAAGTGAAATGAAAATAAAATCGCATAAACTACAAGGCCAGCTGCTGTAAATGACAGCGCCGATAAGATGTTAAAGGGGGTCAGTTGGTGGGTATTCCAGGGTGTTTTAGAGGTTTTTCAAGGGGCGGGGGAGGCGGTGGAGCGGGGCCATAGGGGCAGCGAATGTGGACCGGGATAGCAAAGGAATGGAACAGTTCGGAATAAGCCCCAAGGGGTCATTGCAGCAGCTACACCAAGAGCCAGTGCAAAAAGCAATAGCAAAAGCAAAAACAGAGGCAGAGGCGGCAGCAAAAGCAGCAGGGCAGTAAGGCATGTAACCACACAGCTGGTGGTGCAGTGGCGTAGGCAGGGGGTTTCCGAAGGGGGGCCCCTGAGGTTTCTATACAGATGGATGCACGAACGCACTTGGCCAGTTGGCACGGCCAAAAACACAGCACGAAATGCGTACAAGTCTTTTGCAAACTCAACAAAACAATTCGAGAAACCATTACTATTTAAACTGGTTTTTAAAATAAATAAATTAAAAAAACATTAAATACAAAAGAAATAAATAAACAAGATCAATGTATAAACTAATTTGAGCTTTTCTATAATTATTTTCAATTTAAAAAGCCAAACTTATTTGAAAAGAGTTTTGAAATACTTTTTTTATTAGCATACATTATCTGTAATTTTAATAAATATTATCAAAGGAGCTGTATTTGTGAGCTTTTACTGAACAGCAAATAATTTCCTGATTTTATCACTTGAAATAAACTTGTTATTTTTCTGGCTGTGTAATCTTTAGCGGGGGGTCAGTATGTCGGAAAAGGGGGCGTGGCCGGCCTCCATCTGGCTGTGAAACAGTGCATATCGAATGAGTTTCCGATAGTTATCCGCTTAAAAATCGATTAACCTATTTCCGATAACTACTGCAATGCGCATCCTGAAAGGGCCAGCTGCCAGTCAAGCATATTAACTGCTGCCTGTCTGTCTGAATGTCTGTCCTTCCGTCTCTTTCCCCTGCCCTCGTCCCGTCCCGTTTGCTCTGCCTCTAGCCGTCCTGCTCTGATGCTGGTGCTTTTGTTGTGATAGAAAGTGGCACATTTGTAAATCGCTGGGCAAACATTTATGCAACTTTATGGGTGGCTGCTGCTGTTTCTCCTGCTGCGGTAGCACTTGTCCTCCCACTGTCACCTCTTCTTCTCTCTCTTTCCCTCGCTCCTTCCTCTCGCTCGCACTCTGCTGACACTGCGGTCGATTATCGGGACAGATATGACAGCTGCACGCAGATCACTATATGCATTATACGCAAATTTGCAAATGTGGACTTTAAGCTGTCAGCCGACATCACTTTTCACAGCATGTTGCCAACTTGTCTGGAAAACAGACAAATATCTCGAATTTTAAAGGATATTAACATTGTTTGGGACACTTATTCACCATTCATTTAGCTAAAACCTCAAAGTATGGCAGCATAAATATTTTTAATTACCGTTTTAAATCACTCTTATTAATTTTGTATTGGGAAACATTTTTATAATAGAAAGTACGAGTCATTTCAAAATAAATGGTACTTTATCTTTGGTTTTAACATACAAGTTTTAGTTCGGTTGAAAAGAGAAATATTTTGTTTATAGTCAGCCCGAGTTAATTTAAAGGCTCTATAATAACCTATGAAAGCAACAGCAAACATATTTTCATTGGCCAATTTTCCACGACCACCGCAGCCCTCATAAGTAGGCAACAGAAAATATTCCTTTTATTTTCGCAGCTTTTTGTGTTAATTTGCTCGAAGCCTGAAATCTCCCATCATCATTTGGGGCGGTTGTTTGCTTTTGGGGTGGGGGTAAGGGGGCGTGTCATAACGGGGGCTGCGACGGGAGACAATATGTAAATCAAATTAAAGAGAACAACTCGTAAGGCTGACAAGGCAAACAAACAAACGCAAGCTGTCTGCCTGTTAATTAACTGACAATGGGCTTCACATATTTGTATATGAGTGTACAGTTTCCCGGGTGTAAGTATATCTATATATATATATGTATATATATATATTTTGAAATACCCAAAACAGCTGACGCTCTCCGCCCGCAAGTGCTGGCTAATTTTCTGGCGAAACCCCTAATTAATAGAATATTATTAAGTAAACAGGGCTGAGGGAAAAGTTCGACTACAAACAAAATGTGTATATCAAAATGGGGTATATTAATTTCTGGTTCACCTGTTCCCGGGGTCTGTATCTTGACACCACAGTTTCTAAAACTATTCAACCATAAAACGACCCCCAAGCACACAGAGAGCGTGAAAAGACAGAGGAAAAGCGTAAATTCATTTACCACACACACACACACCCACACACACTCACCCACGCACGCACACTGAACAAAAAGCTTTTTACACAAATGTGTTTATGGCGGTTAAATGTGTGCAGTGGGGGGAAGACGTGGGTGCCACAAAAATTAATACATTATTTTTAAAAGATAAATTTCAAGCATGTGCTGCTGCTGGCTGCCGACAATTAAATCAGTGAAATCCACACGCAGCACCCAAAAATGCCACCCCAATCCACAAAATGTTCACAACTTTTCAACTTAAATTCATTTTGTGCCAAAAAGCGAGGGTATGCCCAAGGGGGGTGCCGAGGGGGCGGGTTGGGTGGCAAAAATGGGGCAGCCGAAGGGGGGTGCCATGTGCCAAGTGGCATCACATATATTTTTCCCGTGGTTTGTTGTAAATTTGTTTTCGTTCACTTGCAATGCTGTGACACCGCAGCCCCATCAACAACAAAAACAGCAACAGCAACAACCTTGCCACCCAAAAAGCCACCCCAACACCATGGCACTCGAAACCACCCATCCACCCACCAAACAAGCCGCAGCTTTTAGCCAACTGTAAATCAGTGCCGCGTCTCTCGAGCAGCTGCTGCTGCTTCTTCTGCGTAGATAATAAATTAAACGCAGGGAGAAAGTGAGAAAATAGAAGGAAATTCAAGGAGAAAGTGCGTTAAGGAGAGGGCAAATTGAAGGAGAAATGAGTGGCTCGAATTTGGAATGGATGGCACAAAAACAAAACCATTCGGGGAAAAGTCATGGGTGTTGATAAAGCTATATGTATTGCAAAAATATATTCGACTTTAATATATTCACATCAAAAATGGAACAAAATATTTTTAATTTTATTCATATGTATTACATAAACCAAAATAAATTAGTGGCTATTATTTAAAATAGACTAATTAACTCAAAATCATGAGAAAAGACTAAATAAAATGTAGCAAAAAAAATAAGATTAAAGTTACGTTAAATGAATAAAAAAAAATTCCAAATGGCTAAATAAAAATTGGTATGTATTTAAAATGAATGCAATTATGTCAAATAATATTTAGCACGAAAAATCACAGAGCAAGGCAAATAAATATTATTTAAATACAAAAATATTTATGATTTGAATTGTAAGTAACAATTAACCTGCGGTTTCCGTCCAACTCGTTTACCTGAAAACGTCAAGGAAAACAGCGCAAATCACTCATAAAACCCCCGAACAAATTTCAGCACACGAAATGCTTTTTTGAAGCTAAGTTTAGCCACATAAATTTGAATGTCTTCGCGTAAGATTTATCAAAAAACCAGTTGGCAGTCTGGAAAACCCTCATCGGAAAAACCCGCTGGAAAGGGGGAACTGTTGGGCCAAGAGTGAGAAGAACCTGGCAGCCCAGATGTCGACGCACAGACGCTAAAAGTGTCCAAAAAGTTGTGCCAATGTTTCACTAGATAAAATGCCGGGGCACAGAGGCCACCACAGGAAAATTCCAAGGGTGGTGGGATGGCAGGGGGGGTTTGGAAAAAGGGGGTTTTAAGGTGGCTGAGGCGTCGTCATCGTCGCCATTGCCGTCAACGTTTGGCGAGGTCTGCCTGCCAACCGTCAACCCTTTTGTTTCAAATTAAAATTTACATATTTTAATGTGCAAAGTTTTTGCCGGGGCAAAACAACAACACCGGACAGACAGTCCGGGTCGTGGAGCAGGGGGGAAGGGGGAAAATGGGAGCGGAGGGAAAGCCAGGGGTTTGCCAGAGCAGAAAAGAGAAATGGGCAAAAAGAATTAAATTGACCTGTAAATATAATTTGGGAAGGCAACACAGCCAGGGAAGGCACAAAACGTGTTTAATTATCAAGTTGTAAACAAAAAACAGCAGGAAAAACAGGAAAATGGAGAGGGAGTCAAAAAAGAACATAGGGGAAAGCATCCTTCGGATGTGGCAAGTGCAACTTGCGAAGTAGGGAAAACATTAAAAAGCCATTTTAAAACTGTTATCATTTCAGGTAAGATCTGCCAGGAAATGCATAACTTTGGTTGGCTTTTAGTTATTTAAAACCCATTTGAAACTTTATATGTTACAAATGGTTTTGCATGAGAATTATTATACATTTAGCCCATAAGTAGGCAACAGTTATTGTAGATAACATTTTGAAAATAAACTTATCTTATTTACTAACTTTAACTTGCTTTTCAGTTAATGTATGTAGTGCTTGTTAAACGTAAGATCAAACAAACAATATTTAATTTAATTTTTATATGTTTCCCACTCTTCAACAGTGACATCATCATCATGGGTTGTCAATCGATCTGACAGTTTGGTTGATGCCACCGAACTTCGGTTTCTAGGGTTGCGGTTTCTAATTGCTTGTCAATTCAGTGGGATGCCCCACAAGCTTTTGGCACATTTATCAATTAACATTTTGAGGCAGCCCAGGAATATATTTATTAAATATACACAACGAAAATATACTCGAAAACTAACGTTCTTGTTTTAAGGATGTTTTGTTCTTGAAAAAATATATAAAATAAAATATAAAATATAAAATCATAAATAACATAGGTTTTAAAATTGAATTTCAAAATCATATTTTACGTTTCTTCAGAAGCATAACGGCCTTAAATCAGCAATTTATATATAAATCAGCAATTTATATATAAATCGAACTATTTGCTCAGTGTATATATAAATATATGTATACGTATATGTTTACCTAGGCCAACGCTCCGTGTTGGGTTTCTTAGCTTGCCAGTGTGTGTGTAAGTTAACACCATTTAACGCTAATGTAATGCAAACACTTTGATGTATTTGCCTTGTTATCGCTTGTTTGTACTTTGCACTTATGTATACACTGAGCGAATATTTGCCCAGGTATGCCTGCACTATATGCACTTGTGTGTGTCTGTATGTCTGTGTGGGCGTACTTGTGTACTTTTCATTAACCGAGTTGGCATTATGACAATGTCCGATGTTTTTCGACGGAAGTTCTTACCTGCAAAGTATGCCAACATGGCGGTTAGGACGACGGATACGAATATTAAGGCGATGCTCAAGCATTTCCAGGAACATCGGTGCTGACAGCGTTTATCTATGTGAAACCTGTAAAAATACACAAGGAGAAAAAGTATGGTGAGCAGAGAGCGTTAAGCAAACTGAGCAATGCATTTGTAATTAACATAGAGGGCGGGGCGACCGCAAGACAGGAGTAAAGCCACTTGCCTCCATCGCACGTCCTGTCCTGTCCTGTCCTGTCCTATCCCCCCACATATCCCGTACTCTGTCCTGCGGCTTTAGCCGCTTGACATATCACAAGGACCACAGAAACCAGCCAACCAAGCAAACAAGTATAGCATACAGGACGGAAAATCAAGGAAAGACACGGAGAAAAAATCAAAGGATAAATTGCTAGTTCAAAAAAAACAGCCTCTCTAAATCTTAAATTTACATTATAAAATAAATTGTTGACAAGGATTTCATTTGTACGAAATGATTAACATTGGAAATGATCGGTGTGACCATGTACACTTAAAAATGCGTAGTGTGACCGTGTATACTGTAGTCGGCTTAGTGTGGCCATGTATACTGCAGCCCATATGATAAGAATTTTGTTATCTTCCTCCATTAACGAATTGAGAATTAGTATCTCAAAAAGCTAATTTTAACATTTTTTCTTCATGCTAGAGACGAAGAACGTAGAGTTTGTACGCCAATGAGTTTGTCAACTGCTGGCAACAGCTGGCAACTTTTTTAATAAAGCTCCCGACCGAAAAGGCAACGCATGCAAAATGATGCACAAGACTGAGGACAAGGACCACTGCTCCCTTGGAGCTCTCCGCTTTTCACATCCTCACCCCAAAAAAAGGGTGTTAATCACACATACAGCCAACAAGTCTAAGCCGCCGCAGGCAGAGCTGTCAAGTCTTTCGGCGTGGTCGCCTCTAATTGCGTAAAAGTTGAACGAAACGCTGACGAAGGGAGTTACGAAATTTGGGGGGGGAAAAACGGAATTTGGAGGAGGGAAAGGGCCTGGAAGAGGGTCCGGGAAAGGAGGCGTGGTCCCAGCTTAAAGAGAATTAACAATTCTTGAGTTGGAAACTTTCAAAAGTTGCCCAGAATTGGGTTAGACTTGAAAGTGTCCGAGTCAGGCCTTCAAAGGTGATTCAACTCGGCGAAGGAAAAGCCAGTGCAGGAAAAAAGAAAAGCGGGGAAAGAGTGTAAAACACCCTTAGGAAAAATTCCCTAAGGAGTTAGGCACTAACTAGGGAACTCTGACTTGGGAAGAACTGTCTGCATTAGTTGGACTTACTATGTAAGGTAAACATCTAACAAAGACACAGATAATGTGAAAATGTCTCAATTACCTTCAACAAGTATAAAAGATATTAAGTATATATTTCTTTCAAAAAAAATAAGTTTTTGTAATTTCTCTTCCAAATTTATTATTTTTACGATTACTGCTGAAAGACTATGGGTCACAACATTTTTAAAACCTAAAAGAGTTCCATCGAACAGGAGAGTATGGGCATATCCTGGCAATCCTTACAATCTGCCTATCCTATGACTATTGGATCCTGAAGGCCAGAGCACTGTGATGTCCGCCGAGTGCTCCACAATCTGATGGACTTTCTGTTGCATTTCGTGGCAGATATTCAATGGCCACCAACAGCTGACTAACTGGCGTAGATCCTTCGTCGACTGTTTTACGGATACCAAGGATTCGATATTACTGTAGCTTTCGGATTTCTTGGTCCTGCCATCGAAATCGCTGCGACCGGGATTGGATTCAGACTCGCTATCCGAGTTGCAATCGGAATCGAGTGATGGGACCTTGGGGGCCCAGGAATCGAGAGGCTCCCGATTTGGACTGGCCACCGCTTGGACTTGTCGGTGGCGATGCCATTTCGGAAGGCGACCGCGAGTCCTGGAACCGGCGGCATCCTGTGGCTTCTTTAGCCAATGCGCACTGTACACCATGTGAGCCATGCTCAGGGTTCCGATGATGCCCATTTTGCTATTTTAATTTACCAAACTTAAAACGACTTAGAGATCCTGCCAATTTTGTTCCAGATAAAATGAAAAACTCTGTTTGCTTACTACTAGGTAGCTTGATAGCAAAGTCAGTGCTAACCTGGCATCCTAAACAAACTTATTAAAAACAAATATAGATTTGACGATATATACAAAAAAAATGTATTTTAGAGTACTTATTTCTTCTGTTGGACATCTCAAATCTCTAGGGCTTTTTTATGGCCCCCAATTTTTGAACAACATTGCAGTAAATTTATTTTAACAGGCAATAAACTAACAAAAAAAAATCAATATTGTGGGCATGTAACTACAGCATGCATTTAAAGTGCATAAAGAAAAACCATTTTAATTGGTCAATTGAACCTTATAATAAAATAACCGAAACAACTAGGCAGGTACATTTATTTCAAGTCTTGATTCTCAGTTATTTTATGAAAATAAACCAAAAGTTTGCACTATACCTTTGGGGGAATTAACGAAATAATAGCCTCAACTGTAATTCAATGCCTTTAATAAAAGAATTTCCCAAAAATGCTTGGAATAAATAAACCCGCCTCCACTTGAACAAAATCAGTTGACTGGAAGTCATATCCACTGCACCCCCACTTCTCACTCAATTTAACGCTCATCCACTCGTAGAGTGTTCACTGTGACCCAGGGCCAAAAGGGCCAGGGCCAGATACATTTTGGGCCCCCTTTTATTCGCAGATACACTATATGAACTCACCTGGATGGCGAATATGGCGAATAATGCGGTGCATGCGCTGAGTGGGAATTACGCAACGGGAATCCGGGCATGACCAGTGGCTGTGAGCCGCTTATCTGGCAATTGCCACCGTTACCGCTCCCGGGCGGTCCGACGCCCACCTGCTGTCCGCCAGCCACGCCCACCGGTCCGCCGCCCACGCCACCGGGCATCGTACCGGCGCCCATCGGCAGTCCAACGCCGCCGCGATCGATGCCTCCGTGGCCGATTGTGTTGCTGCCAGTTGACATACTCTGCGGCATCTGTTGTGGGTGGCCGCCCAGTCTGGAAAATAGAGAAGAGAAGGGGAAAACGCGGTCATTCGGTGACTCACAGTATTTTGGGTGCACTTAAACAGAAAAATAGCATACACAGATAAAATTGACGTCTTAGGTGCAAAAACAGGGTTAAACATTATTTTTTTTTTACAAATTAACCTAATTTTAAAGTATATTTTCGAAGAAGAATATTAATTTCAATATTCATTTATTTAAAAAAAAAAATATTGAGCTGATGATTTTTTGTACTTCAAAGAAACAAAGTAGTTTACACCAAAACTTCCCTTTTGTCACACACTTCAATGAAACCATATCTGGATTTGTTACAAGTGTTAAATACTCAACGTGGTTATAGTTTTCGCCCAGTGCAGCGATGCTTGTAATGCGGAAATTAAAACATGTGCAAAAATTTTCGCTCCACATTGGCCTCTCGTTTGACGCTGTTACAATATTTAAGTCGCATCCTCGTGGACAAAGGCTTATTGTTGTTGCTGTGGCCCGCTGTTATTGTTATTATTATTTTTAACGGTTAAGTGATGCGGAAATTTTAAATTAAAAAACATAAATCAATGCATGTGTGTGCGGCCATTGTAAGGCAAATGGGTGAAACGAAAAAAAAAAGTTTCATTATCCCCGACCGGCAGTCGGGCGATTTTTGTTGCTGTTTGTGTTTTATTATCGCTCAACATTGAGCGGAAATGCAGTCGCTGCTGCCATTTCTCGATAACTGCCGCCATTGTTGGAATTTCCGCGAGTGCCCCCCTGCATGTGTGTGTGTGCTTGTGTGTGTTTATGCCATTTTCAGGCGCCGCCCGCAAGTATGCAACAGAAATTACAACTTTTAGCCGCCTCTGCCGCTTAAAAACATTTCTGTGGATCCGAGCGATAGATGGAAATGAATCCATCGAGTGCCGTAGGCATTTCGTAGTCGGCACAGATTTTTAAAGTTTTTTTTTCAACCCGTAATCGCTGAGATTTTTCGGGTTACTTCCCAGCCCAGCACTAAACCATAAAGGCTTTCATATATTTTTATTAACCATTTTTATTGTTTCTCTATTTTAATGTGTGTCATTTCGTATAAAAGGCCAACCAAACATACAACCTAGAAAATTTTAAGCATTTGGAAATTTCTTTAAAGGTATTTATTCTTTTTTTCAAGCAAATATTTTCATTTCTTGAGACGTTTTAATTTATTTTCTTTAATTTAATTAAATAACTTGGAGGAGGCATACATTTTTCTTAAAAAATAATTGTTTATCTTCACAACAAAGAGCCAACAATAAAAGGCCTTGAGCGTTAGACTACAATGACTTTAGTTTTAGCAACTTGTTTATTTACTTATTGTGAGTATAAAAGTCTTTTAAAATTTTATTTGATTTTAAGCCCATTAAAAAGCCTCAGTAAATGAATGATTTGGGTTTGAAATATATTTTTCATGTTATTCAACGATTCCCTTTTACCAATTGATAATTTTTAACTTAACTTTTTGAGTGTTTTGAAGAATGTATATATGGCATCATTTTAAAGATAATTTAATATTTTGAAAACAATAGTTTGTTTTGACGCGTCAAAGGCTGTAATCGCAGTGCTAGGAATTTCGAATTGCCCAAGTACAGTCGACGTAAAAGCCAGTGACAGACACACGTTTAAACCCGTTTCGAGGACCTTATCTGGGCCATCCCTTCCATGCTTATTTTTATTCCCTGCCCAACATCATTGTCATTGTACCGAGCTCATCGTCAGTTGCTGTCGCGTGCATTTGACATATCACATTTGGCCCTATTCGTATCTCTTCGTATTGCTTTTTGGTTTGATTTTGGCCCGCTTTGGTTTTTCGGCTTCACAGTATTTTCTCGTTTTGCCTGCGGTTCTCCGTTTTGGCCGCCATTTTGACTTTGTTATTTATGGCCACGTCAAGCGGTCGCCGGCTGGTCAAGCGTATGCCACGCCCCATCCAAACGCCCCCCTTGTCCTCAGCGATTTGGCCTGCATTTGACATGCGGTTGTTGTGTGCGGGTTTTTTTCGTTTTTTTTTTTTCCATTGAAATTTTAGCTCTTCTTTGCAGTGGCCAGCGAATGAACTTGTATTGCAAACCAGCCCTATAATAATCCCCAAAAGTTGTCTGATATTTCATATTCAAAATTTAAAAAAAAAACCAAAAATCAAGCAGCAAATTTACGAGTTTTTGCCACAAAAGTTACTAGATCAGTGTAATTTATAGCGAGAAAGGGACGGCACGCATGCAAAACAAAACAATGAATGGCACCCAGGGGGCCAGAGGGAAAGAGACGGCTGCAATGGCCGAGAAAGAGACGGAACAGAAAGCCGCTTACACCAGCAGGCACAAGACAAATGTGCCCCTGTGTGAGCGTGTGTGTGTGTGTTTGTATGCTTGTGTGTGCGTGTATATCTATGTGAGTTCGGGACAGCTTAGCAAATGCTAAGCCAGCCAGCGAGCAGCGCAAGCTGTGCCTGTGATTTATTAGCAACAATAATAGAATTAAACAATTTAAATTAAGTTGTAGCCAAAAACCATAAACAGTCTGCCAAGCGGCCCTGCGGGTTAGGCGCCACCATCCCCGCCCCTCAATCAAGCCCCCCTTCTCCCACTAAATGGTGGCTCACACACACACGCAACATTTTGTTGCCACTAAGTTTGATACCCTCGAAAATAAGGGGGGTTTCAATTGGCTAGGAATCACAATTTATTTACAAATTTGCATAAAAACATGAAATTAAATAAAATACAGATTTCTTGGTTTATATCCATTGTTATTTACTAATGAGAGGTGCAAACCTAATGATGTTTTTTTTAATAATTTAATCTCAGTTTGATTAATGAATGACAAAGCTATTGTAAATAAGCAGCTTTTGATTTTAATTTTATGAACACTGAGTACCATTTTAGAATAAAAAAAAAAGACACCTAAAAAGTCTTTCTTTAAAAAAAATATATATTTTTTTATGGCACATTTCTTAAAAAACATGGCCCTGCTAAACATTTTCATAATCTGATTCCGCAAGCTACCATTTCTCAATAGTAAGTATAAAATGTTAAAAATATAATATTTCTGGTGAAAAATATTTAATTTTTTTTGATCTCTTTATTTGAACCCTAATAACTGAAACCCATTTAAAGAAGTATCTGCAAGTTCGGGGCGCGAAATTTTGAATGACCAGCAGGCGACAGAGCAGCGGAAGCACAGCTGGGGGAAAGTTGGGAAAGCGGTGGAAAGCGGAGGAAAGCGCCGGGAAGAATTTGGGGAAAGGGAGCGGAGAGAAGGGAACTTCCTTGCGCTGCTGGCGGGGGCATTACAAATGCTTCCTGTGCATACATTTGGCAGCAGTTTGTGTGTGCCCACTCCGCTCTCAACCGCTTTTGCACTGCGTGTGTATATTGTTGCCATTATTATTGCCGTTGACCAACCACAGTAGCAGCCCCACTTTCGTCCCACTTTCATTCCACTTTCCCCAACGTCACCAACGTCACCACCACCACCATGGCACTCGACGAAAGTTGTGCACATGCAATATGGAGTGGGGCAAAAAGAGCGCACAAAAAATGTTGCATACTTTTAAGTGCAGCGCATTTTGTAACTCAAAATGGCAGTTTGTAGATGCAGCTGTGTGTGTGTGCCTCTGTGTGTGCTGTGTGTGCACGCGCGTGTGCTTGATTGTTTAATTTAATTTGGATTTAAAAGCAACGCATAACAAAGATTGCTAGCAATTATTTTTTGCCCGACGCTCTTGTTATTCAATCAAATAATATTCATTTCATTTGCAATCAACAACAGCAGCAGCAGCAGCAGCAGCTGCAGAAAAAGTTTTGCTTTTATTAAATTCTGTTTCTGTTTATTCCGCTTTGTGATAATAAATACTGTTTTTGCACTGTCCGTGGGGAAACAACTGAAAAATGGCGATAGGGATATAAGTTCTGTGAGGCAAACTATAAAAAAGAATGCAGTTTTGGAGACACCGAGTTTAGGGATTGAATTGAAGGACTTCCTTCTGGGGTAAGTCATAAATAGAAAACGTGGATTTTATTGCACCGAATGCAGAAATTTTCTGCTATTTAAGTTTTATCGTTATTGCTAGAATAAATACAAATATCAAAGAAGACACTGGAAACCAATTTTAATTAATTAAATTAATTTGATGTCTATGCTATCATTTTGATGTCAAAGGTTTTTCAATTAAAATATAATTTTACACAATCATTTGTTAAAAAAAAAAAATTCTCCTTTCTGTGCCTTAATCGTTTTTGACTTTTGTTTCTGAAACATTTCTAAAAATTCACAAATTTCAGTTGATTTCCCCTCTACGAAAGCAGCAACAACAACTGCTAAACAAATTTTATACATTCCCTGCCTCTTCCCGTGGCCTTTTTCCCTTTTCTATTTCATTTTCTATTTTCCCAATTTTATTTGCTTTTCCCCTACAAAAACGATCGAGCCTCGAGGCCATTGAACATTTTGTGCAAAGTTTTCAATGGGCCACCCACACACACTAGCATATATTGAGTGGAAGTGGAACAAAACTATGAATTTAGTTTTTCTGGCATTGTTGGGTTAACACTGCCCGCCGCCATCGCCCCTTAACCCTTGGCTGCCGACATCGGATTCGTGCCTCACAAAGCGAAAACTAACAAAAACGCCCACCAAAAACGTGATTTTCGCCAAATTTCAAGTACACACACAGAAAGTTGAAGAAGAGAAAGAGAGGGCACGAGAAGGGCAGAAAGAGAGAGCATGATGAGAATACGAGGCCAGGCAACCAAGATAAATCCAAACAAAATTACACGCTGTGTGTGAAGCGCTGAAAACGTGCTAGAAAAATGAAGCGCGAAATCAATAATAACACACAATATAAAAGGGATAGCACACCAGCGAAAGAGAGAGCTATAATGGGAGCGATAGAGACAGAGCAGGGGAAATAGGTGAACAACAAACTGTGGCGAAAGGCTACGTGCAACATTACCATCTGCATCTGTAACCAAATCAGAGCAA